GAAAACACAAAATTCAGGGGGGAAAGTGTGAGTATGCTACACTAAGATAAAATTCAAAGGCCAACTTTCTTATCCTCCCCAGGTTAGGCATTTAAGCATAATGACAGATCCACTGTTGAATATAACAATGTAGCAGTATCAATAAGCAAAGTGATTCATGGCAGTTAGGAAACGAATACTCAACCATAAGCACTTACTGTCTGAACCCAGCAGGTACACAGCAGAAATTAGCAATGATGTTGGAAGAGATAAGGATTGTGTCACGGCCTGAGTATGAAGGGAAGAAAGGAAGTCAGCACCTAGGCTGCAGGTGGATACTGGCAAAACACCTGGGGAAAAATGTAGGCTTGCAAGATGATCTTAAACTTGAAGCAAAAGAACTGGGTTTCAATTCTGGCACACAGTTGAAGGAGCTGATTATTAGGGCTTAATTAACCTCTCTGAGTCTCAGTTTGCTTATCTGCAAAACGGAAATTTAAAACGTCAATCTCACAGGATCGTTACAATGAGACTACATATGGATAAAACCATAAAATATCACTTTTGTATTTACAGTTTTATCCACATGCAGTCTCATTCCCCGTTAACCATCTATAAAGTGGGATATTATTTTCATTTTATGAATGAGGTAACTGAGACTCAGAGAACAAAGTTTATTGCCCAAGATCATATAACAATATACAGTGCTGCCTAGCAGACATAAAAACCTACCTTGTTTATTTCATTCACAATAAAGTCTTCTGAAGCTGTAACCTCTGGGATGCCATCTAGGCTAATTCCTTGACATGTTAGGCTGCCATACAAAGTTGGTTTCCCTGTATAGCACAAAAGAATTAAGTCTCAAAAATTAATAGGAATTTAACATTTTTCTCCTTGATTCAACATTATAGATGGTAAGAAATTAGCCCATAAAAGAAAAGCAGGTACCCGTGTTAAAAGTGAGGTGAAGGGAAAACAGTACTAGAGAAGGTAAACCTAATTTGGAAGGGAATATTTCAAGGGCTTAAAGGTTAAGACCAACAATTTAGAGAGATGATATGCAGTTGTAGAGAAAGCTACTAGAGTGACCTCAACCTTGGCTTTACTGGTTGTGAAACAGAATTCTTCTAGCATGAAAGATGAAGATCAACACAATATATGCATTTATCCACAGTATACACCTATGGAGTCGCCATGAGTTGGAATCAACTCAATGGCAACTGTTTTCTTTTCTTTTCTTTTCTTTTCTTTTTTTTTAATACACAGGTAATACGGGGTAAAGAGTTAAGCTTCAGTAATCTAGAAAATTTGCCTAAGTATAACACTGCTATTGCAATGATGTGGGCTAAGGAAGATATTATCCTACATGTAAACATATGCAGATGCTGGAATGGAGTTAAAAACTTTCTCTTCTTCTTCTGTACCTTTTATATACACTTCTATAACATTCCATAACACTCTGTCTACATGGCTGACTTCTCACTATATCGTGAAGTTATTGAGTTCAGGAACTAGCAGGGTGCTTAACCAATACAAGTTATTCAGTAAATAACAGTTGTACCAAACTGAGGTTGTAGGAAAAAGAGGGAAGTAGAAATCATCATGGATTCACAGAGTAGAAGGGCTTTCTAAAGAGGGTCGGGACTTGAAAGGGGAAGCAAACTCCGAAGCAGGGAAGAGCATGTCAAGAATAAATGAAAAACACAACAGAGAGTCCCTGACGGAACAGGCGAAAAGTGGGGTGCAGAACTCAAATTCTAGTAAAAAGACCAGACTTAATGGTCTTTTAAAAGACCAGACTGAGACCTGAGGGACCCCGGAAGACATGGCTCCTGGACTCTCTGTTAGCCCAAAACTAAAACCATTCCCAAGGCCAACTCTTCAGACAAATATTAGACTGGACTACTGGACATAAAATGATACTCGTGAAGACTGTGCTTCTTAGCTCAAGTAGATACATGAGACTAAATGGGCAGCTCCTGTCTGGAGGCAAGAAGAGAAGGCAGAGAGGGTCAGGAGCTGGTTGAATGGACACGGAAAATCCGGAGTGCAAAGGAGGAGTGTGCTGTCACATTATAGGCAGAACAACTAGGGTCACATAACAACATATGCATAAATCTTTGCATGAGAGGCTAACTTGAATTGTAAACTTTCACTTAAAGCACAACAACAGCAAGAAAAACAATAAAAGAAAAACAGAAAGAACAAGGAGGAAGGAGGCATCAATTAGTATACCAGTTAAATTCAGAAGTCATGGAAAAGGCAGTTGAAGGATAAACTATGGAGGAATCCACAAGTTAGGGTAGAAGTTTGGACTAGAGAAGATCTAGTGAAGACGCTTTGGGCAGGGAAGTGGCATGAAGTGCTATTTTCAGAAAGATGCCACAAAAACAGGATTGAGACAGTGTTGCTTTTCTTCCCACTCTATGATCCTTCCTGGATTCATCAACCGCCCTATTAAGTCTGGCCCCCATGGTACATTACTTGACCCAATCTCCTGTTAGCACTCTCAATGATTCCTCAACATCTGTAAAGCCACTAAAATAGTATCAGTCTTGTTTTTTTGTCTATACAACAGAACTGGGATCAATCTAACCACTCGCCTTCTATGTTCCTATGTGCAGGCTGCTGAATGCTGCTAAGGAAAGGACACAACTATGTAGACTGGCACCACTATAAATTCACGTGTCCATACTCAGCATAGTTTTGTAGTACTTCTGCCCCTCCCATTCCCCACAGCAGCCAGGTCTCCTGCCACCTATCCTGTCATCAAAATCCTCCTCCTTTGTTCTAATCAGGGCCACAACAGATGGATCCTAATAGAATGGGAGAAAACTGTGGAACAGAATCTCAAATTCTTTAAAAAATCCAGACTTACTAGACTGGTTGAGACTAGAGAAATCCCTGAGACTGCAGCCCGGAGATACTCTTTAAACCTTGAACCGAAACTGTCCCCTGAAGTCACCTTTTAGCTGAATAACAGGTTGATTCAAAAAATAAAGAATATCATGCTTGAGTACTGTGCCCCTTTAAAAAACCATCTATATGAGACCAAATGGTCCAAAATTACTCTAAAGCAAAGATGAGAAGGTATGTGGGCAGGGAAACTAGGTTACTGGAAACAGAACCACCAGAACAGAAATAATGAGAATGTTGACACAATGCGAAGAATGTAACCAGTGTCAATGAACAATTTGTGTACAAATTGCTGAATGGGAGCCTATTTTGCTGTGTAAACTCTCACTGAAAATACAATAATTAAAAAAAAATCCTCTTCCTTCATAATAGCCAAAAAGGACAAACAACTCATATATTCATCAACTAATGAATGCAAACACAAAATGCAGTATAGTCACACAATAGAATGTTAATATTATTCAGTCATAAACAGGAATGAAGTACTGATAAAGGCTACAAAATGGATGAATCTTGAAAATATTATGCTAAATGAAAGTAGTCAGACACAAAAGGCCACATAATTATATGATCCCATTTATATGAAATGTCCAGAGTAGGCAAATCCATAGACACAGAAAGTAGGTTAGAGGTTGCTAGGGATTGGGGAGAGTGGGGAGGGAGAATGAGGAGTGATTGCTAGTGGGCATGGAGTTTCTTTTTAGGGTGAAGAAATGTCCTGGAATTAATGGTGATGGTTGCACTACCTTGTAAATATAATAAAATCCACTGAATGGTACATTTTAAAAGTGTGAACTTCATGCTATATAGATTTTATCTCAATAAGACTGCTATTTAAAAAAAAAAATATCTCCTTCACAAAGAAAACTGGAAAGACACCCTCAAATTTCCATGCCATGCCTACACATTTACCTACATCTGCCCTTACTTTCACCTTCTTTTGTCCTAGTCACTTAGGACAATCTTCTTTTCTCTAAGACATTCGTTCTTCAATTAGTCCTTCTCTACTCTATCTTCAAGCTATGTTTTTTAAATTGTTTTTTCTTCAATTATTTCCCATCTTTAAAAGCAAAACAAAACTTGACTATGAGACCTTCTAACTACCACTCTCTCTTCTCCCATGCAGCACCAATTTCCCCAAAAGCAGACTCTATATTTAAAACTTTGTTTCTCACAGAAACATTATATAAAGACATTAAAGGTATCTGAAATGAAAATGATTAGTAAAACAAAACTTTCTCAAAGAATTTAGAAGGAACTTTTTTTTTTGAGTGCAGAATTTCCCCAAACTTTAATCACATCTTTTTCTCTTTGGGTTTAAGAACTTACTATGTATGGAGATTTCCCTAAGTATCCATCCTAAGCAGCCATCTTTACTCTCAGATTCTAGCTGACCTTAGAACCATCTTCTCCTAGCAGATAGTTCCTTCTGCCTCCCTAGACTTTCACAATGCCATAGATTTCATACTCTTTTATCTCTTGATTTCATCTCAGTCTCTATCTCATCTGTTCAGCATTTCCCCAGGGTCTTGTCATTGGTCTGTTTTCTCTCTCACTTCACATGCATTCTGGGGAATCTCACCTACTTTCAAAGCTAAGCAAACACCTTTATGCTGCATAATGGAAAGCTCCTCCTGGATTTCCCACAAGCACAGAAATTGAATGTATTCCGAATGAAATTTACTTCCCCTCCCACAAACTTGCTTCTTTTCTTTTATTCCAGTGAGTGGCACTACCATCCACCTAGTACCGCAAGCCGGGAACCTGGGAGACATCTAAGGCTCTTCCTCCTCCCCTTCCCCTCCACCCATCACCAGGTTTTTAGATTTTTACCCTCTGAACATCTCTCTTATACCTCCTCTCCACCCCTGTCGTTTCTCCCTTGGTTCAGTCCTTATCATCTCTCAGCTAGATTACTCACAATGACCTCCAACTGGTCTCCTGCCTCCAGTCCATCGTCCATATTTGGGGCTAGAGCAACTGTGAAAACATAAGTCTGAGACTGCTGCATCCTTATGTAAAAATCTTCAATGGTTTCCTACTGCTAACAGTATGAAGTCCAAACTCTCAACATGACATACAAAGCCCTCTGTGATCTGACTGACCTCTGGCTGCATCCCATCCATGCCCTGTGCTACAGTCACTCTACAGTTCCCCCAAAGAAGGTTGTTTTAAGCCTCTGTTTCTCCAGTGACCAAAGGTCACAAAGCGTCTAACCCACCTATTTTTATTTTGGCCAGCATAATCCTTCAGTCCCATTCTCTTCTCTACTGACTTATCAATCTAATTCGAACTTTGTTACCTGTCTGACTCTTGAAGGGATTTGAGTTAGCAATCTTTGCTACACACTTTAACAGAGGATCAATAACACTTTATTGCACTTATATTTTTACACAACAATATCCCTCTTCTGTGCTGTAAGTCCCTAGAGAGCAGAAACATTGCCCTTTGCCTTTTTGTCCCTAGACACATGGCAAGTGCTTAGTAAGTGTTGCTAAATGATTAAATAAGTGGGTAGTTTAGACATGAGTTGACCTAGATAAGAACGGAGCACTTGTGGAAGAATTAACAGACACACAGAGGAAGAATAAACTTTATAGGCCATCTAGACCAACCCCCTCAAATTTAACAGAGGAGAAAAACTGAAGCCTAGAGAAGACAACACAATGATTAACACATAAGGTTGCCCAAAAAACATGAGTAACTAGAAACTACTCTGAAAATTGAATGATACTAATCAAATATAAAACATTCTTTATTATTATTTTTAATAGTAGTAGTAGTATGGTACCACACTGGCAGCAATATGAACCCAATGATCTCGTGTGATGCAGGAGTCATTTCAAAGGAAAACTCATAGGACTTGGAAGCTGCCTGGATATGGCAGGGTGAAATGACTTTAGGTTTTTCACTTTGATGCCTAGAAGAATGATGGTAACTTAAGAAATGAGAAAATCAAGAAAAGAGAACCCGTTTGACAAGAAAAGGGCTGGGCTTGGTTTTGGATTTGCTAAACTCAAGATAACAGCGAGACTTTCAAGCAGAAGTGTCTAGCTGGCAACTGTGTGATCTCTCCCTGAACCCAAAGAAAGGTCAAGGCTGTAGCTATAGATCTAGGAATCATAGGAAGGGCCAATTGAATCTGTAGAACTGTTCAGAATACAATAGTATTGGGATGATTATGATGCATCGGCAATGTTTTCATGAATAAGCATGTGGCTCCTAAATAGAAAACCAATCTGAAGGCCCTTCCCTGGAATGGAGAAGTCAGGGTGTTGTCAATACAGCAGACTGGTCAAGCACGTTTGGGGACTATGAGCATTATGCAAGGAGGCTGGGTCAGAACAAAGTAGGAAGCTCTTTTAGGAGTAGTAAATCCTTCTCTAAGGGAAGGACATGCAGATTTATGAACATTACCTGGGGGATGACAGCTCAGCCATGCCTCCCCTTCATCCTTCCTATGAAGAGAGACAAAAGCCTAATTAGGCTCAGTCAAAGTTGAAAAGGATGCCACTGGAGCAAGGGGAAAATGAAGGCCATATAATCCCCAGGTTGGCCATAATACTTAGACATGATCTAGTCCAACCTCCCATCCAGGCATAGATTATTCGAAGACAGTTGAACTTTGTTAAAGAAATATTTGTGTATTAAGCATTTAATGAATAGATATTAATTGGTTAAATGAATATTCAAATATTTCCATTGATAAGGAGTTAACCACCTTTATTGCTGCACAGCTTTGAAAGTAATAGTTATTTTATATTTAAATATTTACTGAGGTTATTCTAAGCCAGGCCCTGTGTTAGGCACTTTGCACATGGCATCATTAATCTTTACAACTGAACAAGATACCTTTTGTTATCCCCATATAAAGACAGAAAACTGAAGCTCTGAGACAAGTGACTTGCCCAAGCTCCCCTAGCTATGAAGTAGGACTTGGAACCTGCTGCTGGTACAGAATAAGGTCTGTGCTTTTTCTACCACCTCACACTGCCCTTTTACATGCTTTAGAGTGCACCTGCTCAATCATCCAAATGCTGACCTCTTCACCCTAAAACTTTTAGGGTGTAGTGGAAAGGGCCTAGGCCTTTAAGAAAAATCTAGGTTGATAATAAGCCTCTATCACTTATTAGCTGTAGGATCTTGAGCAAGTTACTTCCTCGATTCTGATCCTGCATTGTCTCATAGCCTTATGGTGGCACTCAATAAATGTTAGGTTTCTTCCTTTATTACTTATCACACATTCTGTGTTGTAGTAAGTACTCTGTATACATTTATTGTAATCTACCTAGTAAAGTGTAAGTTTTTTGAATGTAGCATGTTATGTTTTGTTCATCTTCACCATTGTTTCGATTTGAAAAACACTTAGTAGTACTAATAGTTGTCATTTATTGCATTGCTATACCCATCCTGGTGCCTAGACTAATAACTGGCACGCTGCAGACGATCAATAAATATATGCTAAATGAATGAAATAGTTTGATGTGCACTCCCAATTACACTGTCACCTTCTTGAGACAACAGCTGCCATTTACTGCATTGCAATACTCATCCTGGTGCCTATAATATTGACACAGTAGATAATCAATAAGTACATGTTAAATGAATGGTTTGCTGTGTATTCTCAAGATGTCAGCTTCTTCAGGGCAAAAAAACACCTCTTAAATTCAGAATACACCTGTGAACTCAACAGAGCATCTAGTAGGAGGCATGGTCATGGTAGGTGTTGCATTGTTTCCCGAAGAGAACTGTCCATTATGCCCAATATAGAGCCTGGTGCTGAGGATACAAAGATTTTAAACATCATCACTCAAAGTCCATGTGGTGGTGGGTAAAAATAATTGATGACCAATAAATATTTCCTAAGTGACTACTGGGCCAAATGTCTTCCTGGCTGTTTCCAATTCACTGATCCTAGTTCTGACGCTAGGGCCTGCCGGCGCATATCTGTTCTCTTGGTCTCAGGATAGCTCTTCAGAGAATAAAATACAACGATCATGTGGGTTTGAGACTTGTCTTTTCTAGACCCAGTGCCCTACATTCCCTTAACAATTGATGAGATAACCCCTATGGATATCCTGGACAGGGCATGGCTCTCTTGACGCAAAGGTAACATTCGCCACCCGCCTCCTCCTCCCAGGTCCTGGGCCTGGATTCACCTGAGGGTTTGCACCCAGTCGCTCTGAATCCTCAGAGGCGCCGCCATCTTGACCCCGCCTCCAGCACCCGCCTCTTCCGTCTACCCCAGTCTTTCCCGGAAGTGGTGCCCAAAGGGCGGTAGCAAGGGCGTAGGGCGGGTTCTACAGAGAGGTCTCCAATGAAAATCTTCAGTGGGTTCCCCAACCCCCCCCCCCACCGCCGCGCACGCGCTCCCCACATAGGGCCGGTTCCTGTAGGAGAGACTGAAGATCTCCAACTGCCATCGGAGCCGCTACTGCGAAACTGACGCCGCTGCGCAAGAGCGCGGATTCGGGTTCTCATCCCCTGCCTGTTGGGTGAGCGCCGCGTGCGGCGTCCTTGCGTGGGTAGGCGTGGGGGGGGGGGTGGTCTCCGAGGATTTTGCCGATGCGCGTGCGCATGCGCCCTCTCCTTAAAGTGGGCGAGGAAGCTCAGGTCACCTGCTTATCTGGATTTATCTGTTTTCCTATTCCTTCGTATGCGTTTATGCTTAAGGCCGGCCTCCGCGATCTAGCTGCCGACCACCTTCCCTGATCTGGTGGCGCAGTGGTTAAGAGCTACAGCGAGCTACGCTGCTAACCATAAATGTCGGCAGTTCGAATTTACCAGACGCTTCTTGGAAACTATGGGGCGGTTCTGCTCTGTCCTATAGGGTCACTATGAGTCGGAATCGACTGTACGGCAACGAGTTTTTTCTTTTTTTAGGAAGACTGAAGCAGGGATGTAGTGGAGAATGTAATGGCGGAAAAGTACAGTAACATATTACTGAGTCCCAGTTGTAGCCCATCCACGTTTCACTCATTATCATATTGCTGTAGTTGTCCTTAGCTGCCATGGAGTTGGCCTGACTTATGGCGACCCTAGGATCAGATATTTGTGATCATAGGGTTTTCGTTGGCTGATTTTTGGCTATAGATCGCCAGGCCTTTCCTAGTCTCTTAGTCTGGGCACGCTTCTAAAACTTGTTCCACATCATAGCAACATGAAAGCCCCCACTGACATATCAATGGTGGCTGCACTCGAGGGCATTGGCAGAGAATCTACCAGGTCTCCCACATGGAAGGTGAGAATTCTACCACTGAACCACCATTGCCCCCATTATCATATTAATGTTCACTTTAATTCTGTGAGTTAAGTATTATTAATGAAGAAACTAAGAAGTTTGCACAGTAAGGCATAATGTCAGGATTTGAACCCAGATCTCTAGGCCTAGGATCCAGTGTACATTCTTTTCTACCATGCTTTCTGTAAGAGTTTACCTCTTGCCTTTAAAGAGCTCACAATTTATTTAGGAAGAAGAAATATGAACAGTACTGGGAATTATCATTTATTGAACTTTTCGAAAGTGCCAGGCTCCTTACGTGCATTATCTCATTTAGCCTAAACAACCACATGAGATACATATTATCTGTTTTTCAAGAGAGATTATTAAGTGACTTGCCCAAGGTCACCCAATGAGTTAGTGACAAAGCTAAATTTCCAACTTAAGTGTGTTTTCAAAGTCCATTTCCCCTCTTTCCCCTTAGGTTATACCGCCTTCCAAAGCAAATGAGTTTTGTGTAGGGCCATACAGTGCTTAAATCCCTCTCTTGACTTCCCCTTTGCCTTCAGGATAAAAGTCACACTCCTTAACAAGATCATGGCCTTGTCATGCTCACACACTTTCTCATCTCTCGCTCACACACTTTCTCATTTCTCCAGTTTGATTTGTTGCCCTGTTCTCCTCAATACTCTATGCTCGAGTAACTTTTAGTCTTCTCATGTGTCAAATTCTGCCTCCAACCTCCAGCCTGGACTTGTTCTTCCTTTGGCCAGGAATATTCTTCCTCCTCATCTCTGGCTAACTCCTATTATCCTTCAAGTCTCAGCGTAGAAATCACTTCCTTCAGGAAGTTCTTCCTGCCTGTTCCTACCCTTGTGTGGATTAGGTACTCCTCCTCTGTGTTCCCTGTCTTAGCAGTCTGTACACACTGTTTGGTAAACTGCCTGGTTACTTATCTGGATTGTAAACTCCATGAAGGCAGGGACTGCCTCTTTCTTGGTCACTCCTGTATCAGCTCTAGCATAGTACCTAGTGTATAATTGGTACTCATGATCATTTGTTGAATGAATGAGACACACACGAAACGCATTAAGGAGTTGTTTTAGCTCCTCTACAGCCAGCCCTTCATGTGGAATTTGTGCCAAGGCTGAGGTCATCTCTCTTCAAAACTTTAAGTTCCTTCTGTATGCTACCTTCTGCTGCGTGCTCTGAAGTAAATGATCTTGGGAAGACAGTCTAGGCAAATATACCTCAGGTTTTTGTATACTTGACAAAATTCTCTCACTTATCTCTCACAGATGCATTTCTCACCCTGGCCCC